GAAACTGCCTTGGCCCTTTTGATAGGACAGCAGCTTACATAGGCAGAGTAGACAGAACAGAATGTTGGGAGAAAGAAGCTGAGTCAGGCAGTTGCCATGATTCTCCCACCTGACACAGCCACAGGTTAAGATCTTCCCTGGTAAGCCACCTCGTGGTGTTACACACATTATTAGAAATGGGTTAAAGCAAGATGTGAGAGTTAGCCAGTAAGAGGCTAAAACTAATGGGCCAAGCAGTGTTTTAAAAAATACAGTTTCTGTGTAATTATTTTGGGTAAAGCTAGCCGTGCAGGAGCCAGGCGGTGGGAAGGCAGCCCGCTGCTCCTCACTACAGGGATAGCCCCTCCCTTCTGGGCTGCAGGAGTCAGCCTAAACATATGGTCATCTAAAGCAAAGCTCACAGAGGGAGAAAGGGAGACGGAGCCCCAGAGATCCCAGCACACTGGACCTCCTCAAAAATATGAGTCAGCCTTTCCCCCTCCTCTTTAAATAGGCATAATTGGTGTTTTTGTCATTTGCCACTGAAAGATTCTTGGCAACACCCCTAGTTCCCTGTTGTCCACTGTAGCTCTTGAAAGATGCTAAGTGAAAACCTCCTTGCCTCCAGATGCATGTTCCCAGAGCAGATCTGGAAACCAAGTAAATACTCAAGCCCTGGTATCAAGACTCAGCTACTAAGGGACATGTCCCCTGGATGCTGAACTGGTTGGTTTTCATCTTAAGAAAGTCTATCTCAACCTCATTGACCTGTGGACATGTCTGGGGCGGGGGGGGGGGCGGGAGTTGTCTTCATTGTTGTTGAGGTGGGAAGACCCACCCTAAATGGGAAAGGTATTATTTCATGCACTGGGCTATATAAAACAGTGGTTCTCAACCTTCTTAATGCTGCGACACTTTAACACACTTCCTCATGTTGCAGTGACCCCCAACCATAAAACTATTTTTGTTGCCACTTCATAAGTGTAATTTTGCTACTATCATGAATTGTAATGTAAGTATCTGTGTTTTCCAATGGTTTTAGGTGACCTTTGTGAGTTATTAGACCCCTTAGTGGGTTGCAACCTTCACATTGAGCTGGCTGAGTACTAGCAAGAAAGCAAGCAAAAATCTATCCATCCCTCTTTGCTCTTGACTGTGGACGCAAGGCTCTAAGTTGCTGCCTTGACCTCCTTACAATAAGGATTCTAACCTGGAAGTATGAGCCAAACAAACCCTTTCTCCCCTAAGCTGCTTTTTGTCAGGCTGTCCGTCACACAACAGAAATGGACCTGGAACAGATGGCTTTCTCTGTCCCTGGCTGGATGAGGTAAGGCGCTGGGCCATCTGCTCATGTTCGCTCCTCCCCAGATGGCCACTGGAATCATGAGGCGGTGGTGAAGGGTTTGCCTGACCACTCCGCCTACTAGGGTCAGAATACTCTAAAGTGGTCCTTCGGCAGGCCTGAGTACTCTGCCCATCCATGCCCACCAGGATCAGCTTAGGGGGCCGACTCAGAGCAAGTCTGTTGTCAACCTGACTCTCTGGCCAATATGGCAGATCTTCAGATGACTGGGACATCTTTACATCATAAAGAGCTTGGACTAAACACAAAATTCATTTATACGAGAAAACCAATTCTGAGAAAAAGCTCTCTCTGGGGTGGTTTGCAATGAGTGTGCAGTCCGAAGGGGCAGCTTGTCCTCATTCCCGGATAATACAGGGGAAACAACAGCAGTTCCATGCCTGGCTGTCTATGGAACCAAGCACTCGCCACCCTGGGCTTATTAAAGGCAACTCTCTCAAGTTCTGTCCTCACTGTAAGATTAGAAAGAGGCCATCAAGATGGTTCAGGGGGTAAAGTGCTTTCCAGACAAACCTGAGTACAACCCCAGAATCCACATAGAGATGGAAGAAGAGAACCAATTCATGAAGCTGTCCTCTGATCTACAGACATCACACACAGTAATAATAAACAATTTTAAAAGCTCTCTGTGTAAGAACGAGGTTAAACAAAATAAAATTTTGAAAGAAAACTGGTGCCCTCAACACGAGGGACCTGAGGCCCTGACAGGTGAAGGAAATGTTTAAGGTCACATGCACAGCTGGTAGTGGAGCTGTGGTCAGGCTCACATCGAGGTCAAGCACCAGAAGCACCGCTAGGGAAGCTGCTGAGTGAGACTTCTGCCTGTTTCTCAAAGTCAGAAAACAGGCAGGGCTGTTGCTGTAACAGGTTCAAAGGAATGCTAGCCCACTGTCAACCACCTCTAGCTGTTGAATTCACCTATAAGCAGGACAAGGCAGCTAAATGATTGCACGCAGCCTTGGCAAATGGTCACCCATGTGTCTAAAGATAAGAAAGATAAGAAAGTATAGAAGGAGCTGTAGTGGGGGAAGTGAATGATTTCTGAGAGCATGCCATGAGTCTGTCAAGCCCTTCTTTGAGGCAACATGTTGCCCTACACAAACACAACTAAAAAGCAAGGTGAGGTCCTAAGTGATGTTCATTTTGCCCATGCCATGTCTTGGTTCATCAGGGTTGTGAGTATTTCCTTCTCCTAGCTGGGGATAGAGACTTTGCTCAGGGAAGTCACTGAGCTATGCGTCCAGAGCTCTAAATTATTAAGTTAAGCTGCCCAGGCTGACGCTGAACTCACATTGGAGCCCAGCAGTCTTTGGTCTTCCAGCCTCAGTCCCCCAGTGTTTCCTGTGGTTTTGTTTCCATATTTTGTGGATCCTGACGGGACCCTTAATGCTTTGGACAACTCCTTTTGGTTACTGTGAAACAAGTGAAAGTTCAAGGGATCAAGAGGGCCAGAGAAGGACTGAGTTAGGATGGACCGTTCTCTCCCATTCTTCAAACACAGGATTCTAGATGATTCCTGAAGTAGTACTCAGCAGCCAAAGTACCTCCCAATGCAGCTAGAGAACTGGACAGTACAGACTACCCCCACCCTCCGCCCCCACACAGGGGTGACCACAGAAAGCTGCTGGCCATGGGAATATGTGCACAGGTGTGCGGGGCTGACTGAGGAGCAGCTCACAAGAGCCAGGTAAGATTTGGGGAATTTTGTGAACCAGGTAACGTTATGCTGACAATTCAAAGCTGGTTACGGTGGAAATATTGACACCACAGAAATGGGCTAATATAGATCAAGGGCTTTTAAATGTTATTCCAAGAGAGTTATTTGTTAAAAATTTCCCAGCATGCTACTGGATTTGGGAGAAATAGTTCTGATCCATTCATCTATTTGTACATCCATCCACTCATCCACCCATTCACTCATTCCTTCACTCACTAATCCATCCACTCATTCACTCACACCCATCCATTCACAGGCCCAACCACTCATCCATATTTTATATGTGTGTGTGTATTTGTGTGTATTTGTGTGTATGATATGTAACATATAATTTTGACCCATAATGTAGCTTTCATTCCCTCTCATACTTGTTCAACAGACGTTTGCTTTGTGATCTGCTGTCTGCCATGTTCTGTGCTAAGTACTGACAATTCAACAGTGGGCAAGACAGAGATAATCCTCTGCCTTCGTCAACTTTACAGACTAATAAGAGAGTCAGACTTTACACCCCAAAAAGCAAAATGACCTTTACAATGAGAAGGAAATTAACCAAGCTAAGCTGGTAGGTGGGGGCAGAGAGGCACCAGGAAGAGGAAACAGCACGTGCAAAGTCCTACATCAGGAGGAAGCCTGGGGAGGGGAGGGAAAGGCTTGGGAAGAAACACAACAGAGAGGCACGCTAGGGTCCCTTCCTAAGCCTCAGGTGGTCTGCCCAAGGCCACACACCTCCAAGGTCTACGGGTTTCCACCCTCATTTCCTCCTCAGTTCCTCTCTATGGGACCTTTCCTGGACTCAGTTTCCAAGTGAGAGCCAAAAATGGAGGTGATGCCCAGGCCTAGTGCTACAAGTCTATAATCCAACTATTCAGATTGAGGGCAGGAGAATTGCAAGTCCAAGGCCTGGCAGAATTGCAGAATATGTTTAAGGTCAGGCTAGAGAACAGTGAGACTGTTCAAAATAAAAACTAAAAAGAAGGAAGCCAGGCGGTGGTGATGCACGCCTTTAATCCCAGCACTCAGGAGGCAGAGGCAGGCATATTTCTGTGAGTTCGAGACCAGCCTGGTCTAGAAGAGCTAGTTCCAGGACAGGCACCAAAAACTACAGAGAAACCCTGTCTCGAAAATCAAAAAAAAAAAAAAAAAAAGGAGGAGGAGGAATAGGATAGAGTTGGGTGGAGAGAGCTGGAAAAACCAACTTCACGGGGTGGGTGTGAGAATCAACTAAAGACAGCAACAAAAAGCTCTTGGCTCCGTGTCTGGGCAACTCAAAGTTTCAGTACCTGAAATTACTCCCTTTGTTCCTTCCTTCCTTCCTTCCTTCCGCAAGTGCCGCTCACTCCTTTACCTCTCTTGTGTTGAGCCTCTCTTCTCTAAGGAGCATCAAGCCCTGTAGGAGGTGCTGGGGAAGCTAGGCGCCAGCAAGGCACGCGCAATGGTCCTTCAGACAAGAGGCTGTTCTCCACCTCCAAATTACCTGCCTTGAATCATCCCACACCCTTGCTACTGACAAGCTGGCCCTTGGTCTGCAAGACAAGACCTCTCATTGGGACTTCAGCATCCAAAGATGCTCAGATACGGATGGGGTGTGAACTCCATGCTGATTGCCACTCAAATGCAATTGCTCCTGTAGTGAGGATTCCTTTACGACTCGAGTCTATGAGATCCTAGAGCGCATTGACTGAACTTGAGATCTCAGTCACCACGTTGCTTGGCGCACAGGAGTATTGGTAGGTTGGACGAATTCTACACATATTCTAGGTAGCCCAAGAGTGGCCCCAACCCCTGGTGTGGCCCTACTCTTGTCTCAGGCTCTGTGGTCAAAGGCCACCCACGGTCATTCAGAACCACCGCAGTTCAGGAACTCATGTATGAAGAAGAGCATCAAAACTGAGAGACGGAAAGGGGCTGTTCCCTCCATCCACCCACTATCCCCAGACTTACTGAGAAGCTGTCGGCTTGAGTCGCTGACGGTCACATTTTCCTGCCAGAAGGGGTTCATCAGCGGCGTGCAGGAGCTCTGGACTGATGGAAGGAAGGAGTTCACGGGCAGGACACTGGCATTCCCCCCCCCCCCCAAGCCTCCCTAGATGTCTCCCACTCAAAAAAGCAAACGGGGCATTGTGCATTTGTGAGCCAAGCTGGGCACCGCCGGGAGCACTTTCGCAAGCCCGCCTCTCTGTCCACCCTCCCCGCACCCCTAAATGCTTGGCACTGTGAGTTTGGAGGCTAAGGGAGGAGTGTGCGCCAAGCAACAGGTCCCAGGCTTGAAGGTATGGTACCCGGGTGCGGTGCGAACGCGGACACTTGGGGAGGACCCTTACCCCGGCAAGTCCGCCAGAGACCCGAGTGGGAGCTCAGAGGCTCCAGCTGGCTGCGGTTGGCGGGTCCCCGGTCCAGCGCTCTGTGGCTGTTCCTCTCCAGCCTCTCGGTGTCGATGATGTACCAGAAGTCCGTTCCGATGGCGGCCGCCAGCAGCACAAAACTGAGCGCCCCGCTCAGTGCCGCCGCACCCGCCAGAGCGCCCAGACGCACCCGCATCTCCCAGCGTAGGGCCCCTAGGCGCCGGTTCCTGCCCACGGTCCCCTGCTGTTCACTGCACCCCAGATTCTCCAGCGTGGATCTGGAACCCAGCTCAAACTCTGGCTCCACCACCCTCACCTGAGCTATCACACTCACACGTGCTCCAGCTTGGACCCACGATCTCGGGGCTCCCGGTCCTCTCAGACCTCCTCCCTGTGCCTTCCGACCCGCCCTGGAGCACGGGTCCCAGACCAACACTGTGGCTGCCTCCTCACTCAGCTCCTCCCTGTGCCCTGTGCCCAGTCCCAGCGCCTTCTTCCTTCTAGCTCAGACTTTCCTCCCCAGACCCCTATCACCGCCCCCACTCCCTTGCCTCACTCTCCATGAACCCCCTCAACCGCCCCCTGCCTCGGTTGGCCTCAGCCCTCCTTGCTCTTCCCACCCACACTTTTGCCTTGATCCCCCTCCCCCCCACTGCAGCCCGGGGCTACCTTCGCTCCCCACGGCTCTGGTTCAGGACCAGTGCCCTGAAACCTCGGGGAGACTGGCTCCCAGTGCAAGCAGGCTGGACTGAAGGAGGGGCCAAGGGGGCGGTGCTGGAGGGAGGGCGGACATCAGACACACTGGAATCAGAGAAGGGGTGACACTCTGTAGTCTAAGGGTACACATTCTCTTGCAATTCCTTCTCCTGAAGCGATTTTGATTCCAAAATCTACCTTCAAGTAATTTTTCTGGGCTGTCTACAAAGGAAAAAGTCGGATTTGTTTTTTTGTATAAAAATTCTTTGAAGAAGTAGTAAGGCTAGGTTATGTGAGTCTATTTTCTTTATCACCAAAGTCTTCATCATCACAGCTATCCCCCACCTTCCTCACCCCATTTCCACTCCCACCACCTCCATTACCATTACCAGAACTACCCTTACCCCACCCCACCATCTCCATCACCACTACCACCATCACTACTGCAATTCATTTTTAGTCTCCCACTGGCTTTTCTGTAAATGACACCTCAGACCTAATAAGTTGAGCATTGTTCCTCAACAAATGCTATCTCTCCCATCCTCTGAGGCAAGCGGCTTTTCTCTGCATTCCCTGATCCTCCTGGGAAAGTAACCTCTTTCTATCTTTTTCTGTCCCCTGAATCAAAGACACCTTTTGTACCCCAGGTTATCACAGCAGAATAAGCTGTCCTTGGGAGGACGTCAGTCATGGGACCTTTTAATCAGTTACTTTTCTTCAGATTTACAGAACCCAGAACTCGGCTTGTAGATAACAGCAGCCCACGAATCAGAAAAATAGGCTCCTTCCCTGAAATTTGTAACCACCTTGTCATTTGTAATGAGACCATTGCCTGCCTCTCTGACACGTCTCCCCATCACTCCCTTCATAAGCCTCATGCCCGTAGCCCCTAGGGAAAAGGTCTTAGTTGCACGGATCCTTATTCCTGGGACAGCAGTTTGTCCTTGTGAACTTAGATACATAGTTGCAGAGTTATCAACTGCAAAATGTCATCTTCCTATTCTACACACCATTCTGTCCCATCATCTTCATCCACCATCCTCCATAAGATCCTTCTTGCCCCTCTCTGTCATGTGTGTGTGTGTGTGTGTGTGTGTACAGATATGCTCACCCATGAATGTACATGTGGAAGCCAGAGGTCAGCTGGGTATCTCCCTCCAACCCTTTCCACCGCATTTGCTAAGACAAGGTCTGATATTCTTGGGTCCCTGCCCTAGCCACGCCCACTCCCATAACCTCTGACCCGCCCATCGCCATCTTGGGACCTCTCTCTCTTTCTGCTTCCTTAGCGTGCGCACGCGTTTTCTCTGTCTCTCTCTTCTTTTATCTCTCCTCTCTCCTTTTATCTCTTTTTTCTGTCTTTCTTTCTCCCCCTTCCTTAATAAATACTTATGGCTATTTCCTGTGTTTACGTGTCTGTTACCTGCCGCCACCATGGGCCAAGGAAGCGTGCCCTCCTGTAGCCGCTTTCCCATGGCGGGCTCCGCCAGCCCGCCCGGGGACCGTTTGCAGCCGCTCTCTAATCGTTTTTTAAGAATAACAAGGTCTCTCAGTGAATCCGAACATTGCCATTTGAAGCTGGACTGCCTGGCCAGCGAGTCCCAGAGATCCACCTGTCTCTGCTCTTCAGCTAGCACTGGGGTCACAGGTGTGCTCCACCATGCTTAGCCTTTACATGGGTATGAAAGGATTCAAAATAGATCCTGAAATTATACAACAGCACTTTACACACTGAGCCATATTCGCATACCAGCTTTGTCTGCTTCTAAACTTGGCCACGCTTTTACCATCATTTTCATTAGAAACATCACCAAAAAGATTCACATCATCAACTTTACGGACAAAAGTAAAACTTGACTGAATCCCAGAATGCCTAATGATATCTAACAGATTTCTCTCTCTCTCTCTCTCTCTCTCTCTCTCTCTCTCTCTCTCTCTCTCTCTCTCTCTCTCTCTCTCCTCCCTTTTGCTTGACTTCAGACTCCATTCTTCAGTTTGACTCTTACTTGTGGCCTGGGAGACAATCTTTAACACCAGTGCAGCAGCCCAACAGAAGGAATCTCTTTTTAAATGGTGCCAACCGGATTTTCTTTTTTTTTAAAAAAATATTTATTTATTTATTTGTTTATCATGTATACAATATTCTGTCTGTATGCCTGAAGGCCAGAAGAGGGCGCCAGACCTCTTTACAGATGGTTGTGAGCCACCATGTGGTTGCTGGGAATTGAACTCAGGACCTTTGGAAGAGCAGGCAATGCTCCTAACCACTGAGCCATCTCTCCAGCCCCCAACTGGATTTTCAAGAATAGAAAGCTCACTACCCATTTTTGATAGAATGCGCATCTTCTCTCTTTACACGAATCATCCCCATGGCTCAGAAAGATATGAAGAGCTGGCTGACCACACTTGGGACACCTGCAGAGTCCCACTGTAACCATTTCATCGAGGTGAGGGGTCACAGTTGCAGGAATAGGCAATAAGAAGATGAGATGCCCAATTAAATTAGAACTTCAGATTCATGGTGAACATTTATTCACATAAGGATCTCCAAAGCCAGACATGATGGTGCATGCTTATAGTCCCAGCACTTAGAAGACTGAGGCAGGAGGATCAGAAATTCAAGGCCAGCTTCCAGCAAAAAGGGTGTTCAAAACTGGCCTTGATGGTATGAAACCCTATCTCAACTCCCCATTATTCACAAAGAAATATATTTGATATATACTTTAAAAAATGTGTTGTGTTTTTGAAGCTTAAATTTAATCAGTTATTCTGAAATATATACACATGTATATATACACGTACACACACATATATATGTATACACACACAACTATATATATATACATATATATACATATATAGTTGGCTTCCGTAGGAAAACCAAGATACATAGACCAGAACCAGCAGCACGGACAGT